GGGTATCTCCTAGTCGAGCAGTCTCGACTAGAGTCTTCTTACTTGTTATTATAAATATTGATTTATTCCAGCTTCTAGGTATACAAATCTAATATGTTTTAGATGATACGTATTGCTTTTCTATATATACATTTTATTAGAGAGTAGTATCTTCTACATATCAATAATATATTCTGAACTAATCAGATTTTATTTTACAAACGGAATACTATTTAGCCTGTACATAATTCCCTCAAAGATTTTTCATATGGTATGTATAATCTTGATATTTGATAATAAAGATCTAAATAATGATCCTAACTTAGTCTAAATATAATATAATATAAAAATCTAACTCGTTGATATCGACCAAACAATGACAGTGACATGCCTGCAAACTTAGATTACAATGTTGTCAAAATTTGGGGACATTTTAAAAGACAGACAGAAAAATGTAGAGACTTTTAAAAGACAGACAGAAAAGACTCTGTTGTATTTTTGAACTTCGTAAGCTTCCTTATGTGTGCGTCACACATTAACTGATAAAGGTGCAGTGCTCCTCATAGAGCACTAAATACATTTCTAGAACAAGGAAGTGCGATAACCTGTTGCATAAGGTTTTCTTTCTGAGTGAGCCAAAAAGAAGGAAGAAAAAGAAACGTAGAAAAAAGCAAAGAAAACTTTTATAGCTGTGCGCTGTGTGTGTGTGCGTGTATGCATGTGCGTGAGTGTATCGGTGTGTGTGAGTGTGAAAGAAGTTTACTAGTTTACGATAATGTGCGTACGTGTAAATCGTATTTTATGCACATTTCCCGCTGATTGCAAGATATTGTGTTCCACAACAATGTAACAACAACAATAGAATAGAACATTTAACAAACAAAAAAGACCAACAAAAGTTATGAAGATGTTGTCAAAGTAGTTTGCCATCAAGGGCAACAAACACTCACACACACACATAGACATACTGAGACGCACTCCACAACAATAAACAACAACAACAACAATAATATGGAATTCAAGCGAAATCAACATATTCTTCAACATGAATATAGAATTTCTACTATATAGCAATTGTATATGTAGAGAGAGTTGCGTGTTCGCTTGGGCCTTACAGTTCCAGGACGACGCACATCATTTTCTGATATTCGTATGCAGCATACAATTGTATAATGAGATGATGTTGCAATGAATTCATAATCTCCACTTCCCGCTCCACGTTCCGCTTGTCCTCGCGCTTCGGTATGGGCACGAATTTGGCTGCCAATTGGAGGCCGGTAGCCTTCTCTCTGCACTTGTACACTGTGCCGAATTTACCACTGAGAATTGGATAGTATATGATTAGCATTTCATTCCACTGTTTGAGGGGCGCTCTCTGAAACACAATACTCCAAGCTGTACTCACCGTCCCACCTCGCTGAGCACGTCGTACAATTTATGGGCGTCCACATTGCGGTTTATGGTCACATCGCGCATTGGAAAAGCGGGCTCCGGAACTGTGGAAAAGCAGTGTGAAAAAGAAAAGTGAGTGCTGAGCTCAAGTAGCTGTGCTTAGGGCTAAGAATAATTTAACGCATAAAGTAAAAGTATCAATTTTGTATTTCGCCTGAGGACCAAGGGTTGAACCATTTGAATTTCTTGGACAAATTTAATCAAGGTCTTTCTATACATAGCAAAGCTTTTAGTTTCATCGACTTAGTTTTATTTAGTTCGTCCATAAATACATTGCAATTTCTCTTGTCAACTTTACTCCTCTGATTTGTGATTTTTTCCTATGCGAGCCCCTTGCAGCTTAGCAAGTCTGTTATGTTATTATTATGTGTTACTACATGACCTCTCTATGCGCTTCTCACGCTGTCATGCTCATATCTGCCAGATAGTCGGAAAAGGCTTAAAGCGAACAAATTGAACTTCACTTCAACATGTATTCGACTACTGAGAACCTCTCTTGAAATATGGCATTCAATCATGTTCATTGTGCGCCCGTACGAAATGCATTTAATATCGGGTATTATGGGGGTGCCTGCCTTGCCTGCTCTTTCTGCAAACTGTTTTTGCTTGTCACATATTTCGCAACATATTGCAGACAATTTGTTGTGATATTTTTTTGCCTTTTGTTATGTTTCTTATTCAAAAGGAAACCCTTTTCAAAATTTATTTGCTGTTGCTGCTACAGCTACTTTTCCTGCTGTTATTGTGGCTGCTGTTGTTGTTGTATCTACAAGTTGCCAAACAAATAAAAATGACTTCATTGAATTCAATTCTGCAGCCAAGGGACATGAGACATAACCGCAGGCAAAATAAAAAAGAAAACAGGACGACAACAACGATGACTAACGGGAAATACACAAGCACATATACACAGACAAGGCATGTGTGTGAGAGTCCCCAAACATGTTAGTACTGTTAGGTGTGCCTATTGAAGGAACTATATTTTGTTGTATGTATATACCCTGTAGCTCTAGGGAATGATAAACTTATAAATCTGATGGCGTCATAGGCTAAAGATTGTATTGGTATTGATTGTACATTTTTATTTATTTATAAACAATACTAAAGATAAGATTTCATATATTCGCGTATAGTTGAACAGTTAACAATAAAAAGGGTTTCAGTCGTGTATTTAAAATATAATTTTAAAAGGATATTAAATCAGATTTTTTGTTGCTTGAAAAAATCTGATTTAAAATCCTTTTAAAATATACATATATAATACAAAAATAAGAAAAAAAAATATATATATATAAAATAAAATAATTAAAATAATTTGTAATAAAATTTATCATTTATTTATTTATTTTTTAATTTTTAAAACACTTTCGATTGTATAAACTTTTCAATTTACAGCCAAATTTTAAATGTTAAAATTCAAAAAGCTATTTGAGTTTATTGAATAATATTGAAATACAAATTTAATTCTGCATTTTCTGACTAGACTTTATTTTCTACATACATACTTTGCATATATAATATTATTTATATTTTTTATATTTGTATATCAAAATATTTTAATTACTAATGCAACAATGAATTTATGAAATGCAGTGCAGGGTATTTCGTAGTCACGCATGCTTAGCTCTTTGCCTTGCAGTTTTTTTTCTACAAATATATATATCTTTTTAAATATTTTTCTATTAAACATACGAAGTCCAATTTGACATTTGGTCCCAGTGAGCGACTCTCTTTAGAACTTTAGCCAAAAGCTTGAGCAGAAATCGGTTTGAATTTTGCTATTTAAATTATTGATAGAAAAACGTGCACACGAGGAGAGCTCCTTCTCTGTCTCCCTTTCTCTCTCTGTCCCTCTCTCTCTCTCGCTCTCTCTCTCTCTGTCCGCCTTTCTCTTTCAGGCTGTCTTTCCAACTGCAGCTAGCTCTGAGCGTGTTGTTTGTTCTAAGCATTCGAGATGCGCTCATAAACGCTGCCAACTGGAAGAGTTTGGATGCTGTCTGCTCTATTAATATGCAAATGGCGCATATAAGTATGCTACGAAATGCACGATAAATCTTTAAAATCAAAGGCGAGCCCATAACGGTGCATAAGTGCACGTGTGTGTGTGTGCGTGTATTTGCTCTAGTATGTGTGTGTGTGTGTGTGAATTGAAACGTCTGTCGTGGGGCGAGCAGCGGGTAACGGGAAGCTGCGAAGTGCATCTTGCGCAAAAACTTGGCAAATTCAAAGTGAAAGTTGAATAGAGGCATGTGTGCATGCGAGCATGTGTTTGAATGTGTGCGTGTGTGCTATTTGTGTGCAGTGAGGCACTTGTGCGTGTGCAGCGATTGCTGCAACTTGACGCCATCTCAACAACTGCTATCTGCTGCTCCAGGGCTGTGTTTGTGTTCCCTAAACGGCTTTTTGGCGCAAAATTTATGCATGTCTGCTGCAAATTTTGAGTGTGTGTGTAAGTGTAAGTCTTTTGAGTGCACTTTGCCAATAATGCGCACAATTTAAGTCGACGCAAACACGCCAGTGCAATTGGAATTGCAGCCGCCTGCTGCTCGTTAGATCAGCGAGACATATTCAATTCGCATTCAAAACTTGGCCAGAAGTTCAGGTAATAGCAAAAAGGAAATCCATAATTTTTTTTCCAACGTAATTTATGGGCAGACGCTGAGCAAATCAAATATTTTCATAAATTGCATGCGTGGCAGACAGAACTCGCACATATTTTATCCACAAAAACAAACTTAAATACACATGTGAGAGCACCCTCACACACACAGACACCCACTCACACACAGTCGCGCAGGTAACACGTTCATTTCCGGTTTTGAGCTCATGAATAAATGAATTTATATCGACTATGGATGGCAGTTGAACTGCAGCGCATACTTTGCAGCGCATATCCTGGCATATCCCTCCACTGCTCAGTTTCGCATGCTCTGGCTCTCTCGTTGCAGCTCTTGTGATTTTAGCTTGGAACTTGTTTGTGCCCCACGAATCGAATTGGATTTGAGCTTGGATATTCGATACGTAATGCTGCTTAGCACAGAGCCTCGAGCTCTGGCCATCGTCGAGCACAAATGCGTTTATAAACACAGCCAAATGGAGTCGAGTGGAGGCTTATTAGATGCCAGGCATCTGCCATTGAGCCAGGTTAAGGCTATGAATAAACAAGTGGGCTCGTGCCGCTTGCAGGCAAGCTCTTTGAAAGTACATATATTCCTGCTAGTTATTTGTCTATGAAAGCGGGTGACAAAGCAAAAGCAAACATTTCATATATCTTCTCAGAAAACCTAAGAGAATAATAATTTATATCAGCACTTTACCTCAAAAAGCCAAAGATTTGTGGATGGAATGTTTCTCCATTCTCTAAACCAGGTTTTAATTAAATACATAGCAAAATATGGATGGATGGATTTTTGAACTTTTCAATAAAAACCGTAAAGTGTTTTTAATTTCAATCTGCAAATCAAATAAAAAGAACTCTCAAAAGGGCAACTAATTTGATTGAACTCGAGTTCAAGTGGCAAAAGGCAGACAGCTCTTAACTGATCCATTTAATATAATCTGAAATGGCCCACCTTCAAGCCACGACCACGACCATGAGCATAACCACGCCCCATTGTGGGCGTTAAATGGTACTGATAAAGTGCCACTCGTTGCAATTTCACCCAATGCAAAAAACTTTGCCAACTTAATTTATGCACAATATCAAAAGCGCATTTCGAGAGGGCCATTGTGAAATGCCTCGAGAGTGTGTCAATGGAACGAGAGTGTGAATCGGCTAGGGGTGGCATTAAGAGAGAGCATATATATATATTATATAGCAGATAATATATAGTATATAGTGTATTTGCCAGCACTCTCATTCAATTGAGTGCTGTTCGCAGATAGCTAAACGGGAGGGATTTTTTTTTTTTTTTGTGCCAACGCCGGCAATTTCGATGATATGAAAATCAGCAGTTTTTCCTTTGAATTTGGAAAGACTTCGCAGTCGCAATGCGCTTTTCTTTTGTGCATTTTGGCAACTGTTGACAGTCTAGCCAAGTCGACATTCATTATCGTAAATTTCGAATTTCGAATGGCAATTTAAAATTTGTTGAAATAAACGAAACATTTAATGCTTCCCTTTAATGGCTGCGACTCGTTGTACAACAAATTCTACAGGAGATTTTAAACTGTTGCACATCAATATGATAACGACACACACCCACACCCACACCCACACCCACACCCACACACACACCGACACTCGCACACATGCGCAAAAACAATATTAATGTGTCGCATTATGCAGACGCCGCGTACGCAGCAAACACAAAAAAGTCGGTTGTTTTTTACTCAACAAACGCGTTGGCATTTTAATATGTGCGTTAAAAAGTTTGTGTCCTGATGGTAGCGGGACGCATTCGTATGTGGTTTATAGGTTTTTAATAACACTTTTTATACGTCTGCCAGCCGCAGAGCACAACAAATCCCCGACTTAAACGCCTCACGTCAGAGCCCGACCCGCTGGCCGCTACCCCAAAGCAATGAGCCAAAGTATGTCAAGCATCTAATGGCCAGGCATATAAATCCAAAACACGGCATGTTTACACAAAGATTAAGCAAGTTTTATTCACATATAGAGGTTGATGTCAAACAAGTACAGCGCCAAGACCACCCAAAGATGTTCTCAAAAATAATTCCGTTGCCTGTTTCAGCATTGCAATGGGAGCAAAGTTTTCTAGAAGAGTCATGCTATTTCTTATATTATTTATTCATTGAAATATGTATGTATACCTTAAATGTATATGAACTGTTTTATTGTATATTGGCTACGTAAATTTTAATTGTGTCAATTAATGAATATTATTTCTGTTTAACCTTTACGTTTCTAACAAAGTTCAGTTAATTTTTGATAATTTGATGTTTATCAGTATGAGAAAATGTTTTGTAAGAACGCTCTCAATTCTTGGGAATTCAGCTTAAATATGTTTTTGTCAGCTTTGGCCCAGACTAACAAATAATAACTGACATTGCAGTTGACTAATGGCGAAAAGTATATGACAAA